GGAAGGATGGAAGGAAGGAAGAAATGTGAATGCTTGACTGAGCATCTTCCCAAGGATGGGAGAAAGGAGAAAAGGACAGGAAGGACAAGTAGCCTAGAGGCCTCTAGGCTCACTGCCTCCTCCAAGGGCTGCTGCCTCTAGCCTCCCTCCCCCACTCTGTCTGATTACAGTGCACGGAGCATCTCTCTGCACTCATCCCCTTCACAGCCACACCCTGGAACCCAAACCTACGTCTGCTTTTCACTGTTGGAACAAGTGCACTCCTATTCTTGTAGATCCTCCTGATCATCCCCCCGCCATCCCATACCTGGAGCCTCCACATGGTTTTCTGCTGGGGTGGGGCTAGTTCACTTCACTTGCTGGACTGTGATAGACCCTTTCCCTCCAACAGGACCCTTGGCAGACCTTGGAGAACCTGACCTGCTTCTCCATGTAACCTCTGTCCCTGTTGGTTCTCAGGTACTTTGAATTTTATGAGGGGCCTTTTGAATATAACTCCACGAGATGTCTGGAGCTGAGGCACGAGATCCTGGAGGTGAAGGTGCTGTCAATGTGAGTAGGGCTGGGCTGGGTGGAGGTGGGGTGGGCCAGGGGCAGAAGGGAGCCGGGCACAGGGTGGATGTATGTCTTGGAGCAAAAATTAGGTCTCATTCTCCAGGTCACTGGCATCTGAAAGCCCTGGAAGCTGTTTTATGGCAAAAGACCAGCTTTTCAAAGTCACCTCTGATGACTTGGGCCTTAACATCCTGGATTCTGTTACCAGTCTTCTTGATTATCATCTTTGGGCTGTCCTTGTGTAGAAATTGTAGAGGGCATGGGAGAGTCTGACCTGAAATTCAGTACTTTGCACTACAGGAATAAGCACTGCCTTCTTACGATAGCTTTTAAAATTTTAATTTCATTAAAAGTTTTGATTTTTAAAATATTTAAATAATACGATATTCAAGTGGCACCAAAGGATGAAGTGTTTCATTGCTACAGCACTAGGTTCCCCTTCCTGGAGCCCCAGCATGTCCAGAGCACATCTAGGCATAAGCCATCATCTATGTTTGGAGACTCTTTACATAGATTTCTCACACACATCAAAAGAACTAGGCTTAGGTGGTGCCAGTGGCTCACATCTGTAATCCTACGTACTCAGGAGGCTGAGATCTGAGGATCATGGCTCTAAGCCAGCCCAGGTGAAACTCCATGAGACTCTTATTTCTATTAACTACTCCAAAAAGCCAGAAGTGGAGCTGTGGCTCAAGTGATAGAGTGCTAACCTTGACCAAAATAGCTCAGGGACAGTGCCCAGGCCTTAAGTTTAAAACCCAGGACTGGCAAAAAAAAAAAATAACCAAAACCAAACACTACGCTGAGACAGACCCCTTCAATCACATATCAACTAGGCTTATATCTCACCAGTAATAGGAAAAGCTGAACGTTTTAACATGTCTGTCCTCAGCTCAGTTTTCCCTCCTGCATGGAACTGGCATGAATTCAGCAGACCCCCTTTGGAGGGGGGTGTCTGTATTGGTTTGAGAGCATATGTATGAATGTGGAAGAATAAGAGTTTATTCAGAAGTAGCAATGCTAAGAGCTCATATAACTCATGGCTTCTGTATGTGACACAAAGGACTTCTGCCCAGTCCCACAGGCAAGACCAAGATCTTTGGTAGCCATTGGATATGATGCCAGGTGGTGTGGGCCATGTGGACTGCATGGATCCTTGAGAATCAGGCAGACCTGATTTCAATACCTTATTAGCTCTGAATTGTTAGGAAAATTACCTAATTTCTCTGAGCCTTTTCTTCGCTCTAAAAAGAGGCACAATACTGCAGACCTTTAAGGGGCTACTATTGACTAACCTGAAATAATATATGTGAAGTGGGTGGCCCAACTGTTTACATATACAGAGGCATGCATGGTATGTACGTAGTCAACATAAATGCCTGGCTCTCTTTCCTGCTACTTCTTTATTTCCCTTCTGGAATCAGCTGCCACAACAATTGTTGCAGGACGGTCATGCCCAGAGTCTTGGTAGTCAGCTGTCTCTCTAATAAACACCTGAGAAAATCAACTCATAAAGAGAAAAGGTTTATTTTGGTTCACAATTTTGGAAGTTTCAGTCTATGGTCAGTTGTTTTTGGGCCTATGGAGAGGCAGCACATCATGTTATGGGGCATGAGATGGAGCAAATGCTCACTTCATGGCCAGGATGTGAAGTGAGAAAGAGCAAGAGACTAGGCTTCCACAATGACTTGTAATCCTCCCATGAGGCCCTGCCTCCTAAAGGTTCTGAAGCTGCCCAATAACATCACTGTGGGGAATAATCGTTTAACACATGGACTTCTTAACAGCTGCTGGAAAATCCCAAAATTGAGCCCCGGTGTCCAGTTGTGATTAGCCACATTGGCTATGGCTCCTGTATTGGCCAGTGGTCTGTGGACTCCCTAGAGATGAAAATATGAGGCAGCCCACCTCCTAGGCAGTCAGTTTATCCCTGAGTCAAGCACATACTACTGTGATCCCAGCCTTCATGGAGCTCTAAGCCCAGTAGATGAAAGAGATATGAGTAACTAATTGCCCTAAGGAGACAATGGATGAGGGGCAACTTGATCCAGGCTGGTTATGAAGGGGATTTCTAGGCAAGGTTCCCTGAGAAGGGACAGTGGAGCTGTGGCCTGCAGAGCAACGAACATTAACTAGGTTAGGATGATCCTAGATTGCACAGTTTTTCTAAGGCCCCGAGCCAGGATGGAGCCTGCTGTGTCTGGGCTCTGAAGAACCAGAGCAGCTTGAAAGCAGCTTGAGCAGAAGGCACAGGAGTTGTGCCACAAAAAGTGCCTCTTGAGGCAGACTCACATTGGGATTTTGTCTTTTTCCAAGGAACAGGAAACCCAGGGAGGGCATGGAAGTGGGATCTGTTTGATATTTTGAAACACTGCTGAGGAGTTAAGTGACAAAGACCACCCTGACCCCAGTCTGGAGCCACATTCAAAGCCCATAAATGGAAAGCCTCTTATTTTTCTCAGAATCCAATTACTTTAGGTCCTACATGTTCAACTGGAAATTCAGCACATACCCGAGTTTTCAAGAGGAAAATAGTTTTTTAAAAAAATATAAAAACAGGGGCTGGGAAGGTGGCTCAGTGGTAGAGCGCTTGCCTTGCATGCCTGAGGCACTGGGTTCGATCCTCAGCACCACATAAGCAAAAAGAAAAAAAAGCCGGAAGTGGCGCTGTGGCTCAAGTGGTAGAGCGCTAGCCTTGAGCTGAAGAGCTGAGGGACAGCGCCCAGGCCCAGAGTTCAGGCTCCATGACCGGACCCCCCCCCAAAAAAAAACCCAAAAATAAAATAAAATAAAAACATACCGTTTTCTTCCTCAGCTTGTTGATGGTCATCTTTCCAGTGTGTCCCCACATTGCTAGTTTTAAGTCTGTGCCTTTTGTTTAATCTCCTCCCGATTATCCACCCCCATGGCTTCACTTTACTTAATTACCTCTCTAAAGACTCTTGGAATACAGTCACACTATGAAGTACTGGAGGAAACATATGAATTTTGGGGAGACACAATTTAGCCTGTGACAGTACCCATCTCAGCTTCTGTTTGGGGAGCAGATGAGAAATTACTCAGGCCCCTTGGTTGGAGCCTACACACAAACACCATAAGAAAGCATGGACAACTGCACAAGCAGCATGTTCTGTCATGTACTATGGCTTAGGCATGTCTTATTCAGCCTTATCCAGGAGGTCTGGAGTGAGAGGAGAGGTGAGGACAGGTACTCATGGGTCATTATGGGTCAGTTTAGAGGACAATGGGAAATAGCAGCCCAGTGCCTCCTTCCTGAGTCCTCAAGCTGGTGATCTGTAGGCCCTCAAAGGATGAAATCAGAGCACTCCAGAGGCTGGCATCTGATCTGAGTGGCCCTGACATCATCTAGGAACCTGCAGGCTTTGCTGTGCTCCAGCTCAGCGCCATGACCTGGACTTGTGGCATGTCCAGCCTTGAGTCATCGGGAGAAGGTCAAATCTCCATCTGTGGATGGAGGCGGCTAGATGGATGCACTCATGTCCCTTCAGGCACACAGAATGTCAGCTGGTGTTCTGTCTGAGGAAACAGGGAGGCGTGTGATTCATCTGGGAATAATTGGAATCCAACATTGCTCGAATCAATGGTAAAAATCAGTCAGCCAGAAAATTCCCACATGGAAAGTGCCTTTCTTTCTGACAATGTCAGCTACACAAGGAATTATTCTATGGTGATTTGCTATGAAAATGACTGTTGCTGAGTCTTGTTAAATACTTACACTTGATTTTGGTCATTCTAGTGCTTGTATTTTTTAATAAAACCTTTAGTTTCTGCCTGTGCATATAACCAGATGAGGTTGTACCTGAACTCCCCAGCTAGCCTCTTCCCGTGTTCCTCTCACTTTTCTGTGGCTAGGAACCCAGAACCTAGTGCAACAATGAAACCAAGAGAGAGCTAAGCTGAGAGGCCTAACAGCTGGGCAGATGCCCACTCTGAGCCTAGAGGCCCTTTGTGGTTCTTGAACCTGAAGTCCAGGACAGCATTCACAAGTCTGTGTCCTCTCATGTCTGGAGCTCCTTGAGGGGAGGGCCTGGGCTTAGATCTCTGCATCTAAGGCTCAGGACATAACTGTGCAATGAATGGGTGGGCAGATAAAGCGGGTGGGACTTGCATACACACAGCGAAAACCACGGAAGAAAAGGGAACAAAGAAGGAGGCTGAGAAGGTCATTGTCTTCTCATGTGATCACTGTGTCTTGCACATGAAAAGCAAGTAGATCACAAAAGCTTATAATAATAAAAAGCTAGTCCACTGCTCCACGCCCTCTCATACCAGCTCCATTCCTTTTGATTCTCAACCATTTCTTCTGGTAATTGCCTCCACCTCTCTCAATAAGACATGCCTGCTACTGTGTCTCAATTCACCACTTTTCCTGAGTTTAAGGTGTCCTGCTTTGGTAGGTGAGGTCTCCCCCATCTTTCCCACAGTCTCACCTCCCACCCTACATTTTCCCATTTGAAGGGTGCTGTGGTTTGGAAATGGTTTGCCTTAGAGAGTTTATATACTGGAGGCTTGGCCCCAATGTTAAACTGAAAACTTTTAAGGAGGTGGGAGTTTAGTAGAAGGCAGTTAGGTCACTGGGGACATCACTGCTGGAAGAGATTTAAGCTGGGTTTGTGCAGTGAGTGGATTCCTGTGAAGGCAAGTTGTTTTAAAAGAGTGAGCCTACCTCCTAAATCTGCTTTCTAAACTTGTCATGCGATTTCTTCCGATGTGGCCATTTTCCTTTCTGATTCTCTGCCATGCTCTGATGTGGTTGAGGTACCTCACCAGAGGCTATGCCACTGGGATGGGACCACTTGATCTTGAATTTTCAACTCTCTAAACTGAGCTTAATAAACCTTTTTTTGGGGGGTAAGTATCTGACTTTGATTATTTTGATAGAGCAGCAGATTACAGACTAATACAATGTGTGTTGCTAATTTTAGTTCCTCTATGGATAGATTACCTAAGGAATATATTTCTTCTTCTTCTACTAAATAGGGATGGTGTCTCTAGATACTGTGACATGTAAGATACAGCTATTAAAATTACCCTGACTTCCACCTTCTAGAGTATGATATCACTATTGGTAAGTTTTTACCTACATGTCAAGATTTACATGTTTACGAACAAATTTATATTTTGTTTGTAACCATAGCAAATGATTTCTGTAGAGATTGACTCTAAAAATTGAAGATCAGCAGAGTGGTTTCTGTTATTAGGACAATTATTGTTATCAAAGATCAGGGAGGCACCTGATTCCATCTCCTTTCTTAACTTTTTTCCCCCTTGGAGCTTCTAGCTGTCTTACCTCCATCCTCTTCATCTCTGTAGTACACTTTGTAGTAGTTTCCCTTGCTTCTTCACCAGTCAGGCATTTCCAGGGTCTCCTTACCCTCTTGCATAGATTTGGAGGTGGCTTTCTTGTTTAGCCACACGGGAGCTTCTTGAAAGATGTCTGGGCATTTCCTCTCTGTGTTGAAGGTTGGGTGTACCTTTACTTAGAGCCCACTGTAGATTTGTACTTGCTTTCTCTTTGAATCTAGTCTTCTCCCAAAGCTTTTCTTTGCTCCCAAGCAATCCATGTTTATTTCCAAGGATGTGTCATTGTTCTGAGTATCTCTGGGGACACTGAGTAGAATAGTTTTGAGTCTCTTTTGTTCTTCCCACTTTTTTTCCTGTGGTTTTCTTATCTGATGGTTTATCTTGGTCTGTCTCCCATAGGTAGACCAGATGACCCTTGGTTGTCTGTCCATATTTAAACTAGAAGCAATTAAAAGCTAGTCAGAGCTATAAGTATGAAATTATGCAAGATGCTGCTCACCCATTTGCTGCTATAATGCTTAGTTCTTTTACCTGGGAATACCAGTTTTTTAAGGAGGAATAGATGTTTGAGTTATCCTTCCTCTTCTGCTGGATATGAAGTACTGGCTGGAATAGGTGGTAGGATGAACTTGATGGTTCTTCTTACATACTTACAACGGATTCTATTTTGGAGATCCGTAACCTCCAACCCCTTAGCCCTTTTAGAATTTTCCTCTGGATGTTGTCATCCTGTTTTTGTACCTTCCATTTGTCAAGATCCCTCTTCCACTGAGATACCTGTCCTGTCATTCTAATCATCTGGTAGGTGGGTACCCTTTTTATTCCTCTACCAGAGTATTAGTGATTCCTTGGAGAAAAGAGATGAGGACCTAGAGGCAACTTTAAGCAAAGGTGACCTCTGGATTTGTAGAGCAGTCTATAAAGTATTTTCACACATGTGATTCTCTTGATCTCTCAGACAGCCCTTGAGATCAGAAGGGCTGAGGCTCTGATATCCATGTTACAGCTGAGTCCCAGAAAGATTAAATGACTTTCCCAGGTCACATTGCAAAGTTGGAGATGGAGCCAGGATTCAAGTCAGGTTGTCCAGGCTCCAACTATGGTTCAGGGTGTAACAAGGGCACTGGAGGCACAGAGAATGGGATCTGGTGAACGATTTGAGTCAGGACTCTGACCTTGAGCATTGGCTGGGCTGTGTTCCTGAGAGTGTTTGAAGCAGCAGGTATTTAGATGCTACTCTAGGGGCCTGTGAATTCCAGGGAGGTGCAGGGAAGGGGAGCAGTAAGTCAGGGTGTCGCTGTGCTGTGGCACCTCTCTGTGCTAGAAGCTTTTGAGAGGGGCACTTCAGAAGCTCCCCTGAAGAAGTCTAGGGACTCCAAAGAAAGGCTTCCCTTCCTCAGGATGAGAGGAAGGACTCCTTCCAGTTCTGTAACTGCACAGAAGTTTCCTGCCCCAAGGTCTTTGCAGAGTGGTGTAGCAGGATAGGTAAAAGGGGCTAATCAAGCTTGTGTTACCAGTTTTCAGACAGAATCTCCTGAAATGATTAACATGCCGAAGTGCCCAGCTGAACAGGAATCTGTCCTCAAGTTTTAAGACTAGGGAGACATATATAAAATGAAGTCAGAGATGACAAGTTTTATCCTATGTTTAGTTATCCATTGGGCATCTGCAGATCCAAGTGGAGAGTCAGGGCTTTTTTTATTTAAAAGCAAAAGAAGCCTTTAACTCCTTATGACATAGTTAGTGTTCATAAGAATTGTAACTGTCATTATTGCTATACTGTAGATCAAACCCAAAGCCTTGTACATGCTCAGCAAGTGTTGTTCTGCTGAACTGTCTCCCCAGCCATTTTTCATTTCTAAATTTTCTTTTTTGTATTGTAAATGTGATGTACAGAGAGGTTGGGTTACAATTATATAAGTTACATATATTTATATGTATACATATATTTATATAAGCTACAATTATATAAGTAAGGTAATAAATACACTTTTTTTCAAATAGTGTTATTCTCTCCCACTTTCCCTTAAACAGAATCTTGCTATGTAGCCCAGGCTATCCTTGAACTCTGAATCTTCTCAGCCTCTTCAGTGTTGGGTTTATAGGTGTGTACACTTATGCTGAGGTCTGGAATTTATATTTGTTGTTGTTGGCAGTATTAGGGTTTGAACTCTAGGGTCTCAGGCTTGCTCAAGCCTTTTTTGCTTCTTATTTTTGAGATAGGCCTTCATTTTTTTTCCCCATGACTCCTGGACCCTGATCCTTACACTTCTCACCATAGCTGAGATGACATACATATACCACCATGCCTAGGTTTTCCTGTTGAGGTAGAAGAGTTTCACCAATGTTTTTGATCAAGCTGACTTGGAACTATGTTCCACCATATTCAGTCTCCTCTACAGCAAGGATAATAGGCATGTGCCACCATGCCCAGCTATTGGTTGAGACAGGGTCTCATGAACATTTTGCTCGGGCTGTCCTCAAACTATAATCCATTTGATCTCTGCCTTTTAAGTAGCTAGGATTACAGACATGAGCCACCAACACCCAGTTGGAATTTGTATTTTTGATTTGGTTCATTCAACAGTACTTACCAAGTGTCTATATTTTGCTAGGCATTATTCTGAAAGCTTGAGATCCCACATGGAATATACGAAAACATAATGGGGCTAGGAATGTGGCTTAGTGGTAGAGTGCTAGCCTTGAGCAAAAGTGCCCAGGCCCTGAGTTCAAGCCCAGGCCTGGCAAAAAGAGAATACATAACTATAAATGTGTAAATGCACATTTAGATACTGTTTTTTTCCATAGAGTTTCAGTTGAAGAGAGACTTGTCCATGATTTTGAGATTCCCCTTTCTGAGAGTGCGTAGGCACAGCCTAATGCTGAGATTTGCCTGAAAGGTGATGCTTAGGGGAAAGAGGGGGGCCCTTAAGATTCTTTTCTTTTCTTACCTGATACTGGAAAATAACAGTCTCCTATTGGGAAGGAACTGCCATGGTCCTGAGCCTTACTGTGACCCGTACCCAGTGTGGAGGGTTCCAATGGCACTCTGCTAGGGCATTCTTGTTCCACTTAGAGAAAGATAATTTCTGAGAGAATTATGCTGGCCATTGAGAGTAGGCATGTGAGGGAGGGTGATGGTTTGAGTCAGACCTGATAGGATATGTACACCTGGAGAGATTGTACTAAGTAAGAAGGTGGAAGGGTTGGTTGGTTTTGTTTCTGGAAGTACTGGGCTTTTGCACTCAGGGCTTTGTGTGCTTGTTAAACAGTTTCCCTGTCACTTGAGTCACTCCAACAGCCCTTTTTGCTTTCCTTATTTTTCAGGAAGGATCCTGCTTTTTTCCTGGACCACAATCCTCCTCCCACATACCTGAGATAATAGGTGTATACCTCTAGGCTGGACTTGTTGATTGAGAGAGGGTCTTTCTAACGTTTGCTCCAGCTGGGCTCAAACTATGATCCTCCTAAGCTGTACCCCCTGGGTGGTTTTGTTTCTGGTGAGAGGAACAGTATCTTGCTATGTAGCCCAGGCTTACCTTGAATTCCTCATCCTACAACCTCTGCCTCCCAAATGCTGGGATTACAGGCATTAGCTACCAGGTTTGACAATAAGAAGATTTTATACTCACGGATGCCTAGAAACCAGAGGCAGGTCACCCCATACAGGACCACATGGTGACTGACTTACCACCTGCTCTGTCCTCCCCTCCCACAGGGTGAAGCAATCGGAACTGTTTGACAGGTGGAAAAGTCTCCAGACATGCAAGTGGGCTATGAACATCTCTGAAGCCAACCAATTCAAGTACTTACCATTCATTTGTCCCCCTTCCTCCTGGTGTGGGGCCCCGCTGCTACCTCTGCAGGTCTCCATTGTCTCACAAGGCCCAGCTCTTGGTGGGCATCTGCTTCAGAGCTGCTCCAATGGACTTCGGCATCTGGGAAGTGGCAAGACCACTGCCCTCCATGCTCTCTTGAAATCCTTGCAATATCTCTGTGAGGCCACTGCTGTCTTCTCCAATCCACAGTTGGGGTTCACTGAGAGTCCTGGCAGTAAGGCGTTTGCTCCAGGTGTCCCTGCAGGTCCCCAGGGCCTCAGTGCCTTACCTCCCACTCCTGGGGTAGTGCCTCTAATGCAGCAGCCTCATGCTGGCACTCTGACAGCATGCAACAGACACCTGAGCCTAACATAGGTTATTTCCTAATTGCATTCCAACCACAATTAACAGGTTATAAATTCTCAGAGAGGCGGCAGCTATAACCCAAGGTTCTGAGTGAGCCAAGCAGATGAGAGATGTCCAAAATTCCCTTATCATTAATGGTGAGCTTTGGTTCCCTCTATCTCTAAATTCCTGCCCGTCTAGAGTATCTTCTTAATGCAGGTGGACTTTATGTTATGGAATTAATGTGATCCAGACAATTGTGTCAAGATGAATTTTGGCTTCTCGGGTTCAAGTTTCAATATGCTGAGGAGCAACCAGAAAAAAAGGAATTCTGTACTGGAGATTGGGGGTGGGGAGAATGTCACCACCATTTTGTACTTTCTTTATAAGTCATTTGCTCCAGTTTATGGCAATTCCAGGCCAAGACTTAGAAAATAGCAGCTTGAAGTGGCTCATGTTAAGAAATGTGAATGTTTAGTATGATGAGCCCTGAAGACCATAGAAACTCAGCTCGGGCCTGCTGGTGGTTTGTAGATACCCTAGAAGCCAGATGATAAAACCTCACAGATGAGGGACGAGTACAGATAAGACAATGTGGTCCAGGTTGAGATGGAACATGAGTCTCATTGATGAGATGCATTTATCTAAAGCAATAAGAAAGAATAGAAAAAATGAGGCAAAAAGAGAAACTTATTCAGGGTGAGAGCCTGGGGAAGGAATCAGAGAGCACTATCCAGGGGTGAGGCTGAGGGCTGGAAGGAGGTAGGGAAGATAGAGTGGTTTCAGGTGTAGGAACGGCAGATGACATCAGGCCTTGCTGAGCTCTAAATGGAAAAACCTTGAGAGCCAATCAGTTGCCTCCTCTGCTCTCATTTCAAGCTCCTGGAACAGTGATGAGCTTCTTCCTTTAGGTTGGCAGAAACCTGGTGCAGAGGAGGAGAAGAGGCACAAGCATTTCAATGACAGGAAAGGAATCTTGTAACAGGGTCCTTTCCTACCCTGCTGCCTACAAATAAGATGCTTTGGCATTCTCACTTAAATATCAGTTACTTGTAAGTTTGGTTAGTATGACTCAGTCTTCCTCAATGGAAATACTCCAATGAGCCAACAAGATTGAGTTCCTGTACCAGAAAAGCTCAAAGTTCCAATGGCTGGCTGGTTCATAATGCTGACCTGTTGCCCCTCCTTTGCCAGGCTTTGGCTCCCCGACTGGAAGCCTTCGTCATACTCCCACATTTAACTATTTACAGAAAGATTACTCTGCAACTAGCAGCCACTTGTGCTCACCAGTGAAGCCCTTGCAAGAAAGAGACACTCATAAAAAAGACAAGAGTATATGTCTTCATCTTCTATCTTTTGGCAGGCTGGAGAGTCAGTAGTAGAGGAGCCATCCTAGCATTTTACATACAAGGAAACAAAGGCCTAGAGAAGAAAGTAACGTGTCTGGAGCCCCATAGCTGTGGGATCAGCGCAGAAACTAGAATCTAGGGTTCTTGATACCAAGCTGTAAATCCAAGCTTCCATCCTGACTTCGGTGGGAGCTGTTAAAACATTTGTTAGGGGCTGGGAAGGTGGCTCAGTGGTAGAGTGCTTGCCTCGCATGCATGAGGCCCTGGGTTCGATTCCTCAGCACCACATAGGCAGAAAAAGCTGAAGGTGGCTCTGTGGTTCAGGTGGTAGAGCTCTAGCCTTGAGCTGAAGAGCTGAGGGATAGCACCCAGGCCCAGAGTCCAGGCTCATGACTGACAAAGTTTGTTAGTGGTCACTGCAGGGCTTTGTGGGGGATGTGATCGGAGCCTTGGAGGATAGCCAGCAGCTTTGGGAGGGGCAGATCTCATGGGCTCAGAGCCCTGAGTGAGGGGGGCAGTGAACTGCGCCCTTGGTCATGTCCACTGCCCTCTATGGCCTGGCCTTCAGGCCCCCAGGAAGAGGGAACAAGATGAGCCAGGATTGGACCCCAACCCCCGACTCCCAAGAGCATACACTGCCGGGTGGAGCACCTGCTGCAGAGAACATCAACTGTCTTGCCTGGTTGGTGCTATGGCCGCCTCATCAACCTTATTTTCTCTGCAGGTGGCTTTTAAAAGCTGGCAACTGAACTTCATCCTCTCTGAAGCTCAGCTTTCTGAGATGAAAACCAAAGGGATTAAAGAAATAATAATGAACTTCTGAAAACTTTCTGGAGCCAGGTCCCCACTTTCTATAGACAGCCAGCCAGGATCCACCCCCTACTCTATGTCATGGTCTGCTTCCTCCTTACATCTGTTTCTTACCTTTCGTTGATTCTGTGGATTTGAGTTTGGGGAGCCACGGTCAGTATCTGTGGCAAGTAGGACATGGGGCTGAGACATTCAGGAGCAGTTCACTCCTTGGTCTTCAACTGTGACCAGTGAAAGAAGCAGAGAATGCATCCACACTTGCAGATCCTGATCAAGCTGGGCGGAGCCATCAATCCCTCATGCAGTGGGCCTAGGCTGGCTGAACCCACATGAATGCCAAGCGCTGTTCAGGGTTGGGAGAGGCAGAGGCCCCGCCCTCCAGGCTGTTCTGTCCAAAGAGTGAGACACCCAGTCTGTGCCACAACCTTTGAATCAAATACAATGGGAGGAGGCAAAGCTGAGGCTGCTGGGACTTCTTGGGATCCCTTGGGGGAACCTGGCCTACACCCTTCCAGGGTGTAGGCCCCTGGGCAGTAGGAAGACAACTGAAGGGGGAAGGGAAGCACCAGCAGAGGCGGGGGTGGTTGTGTGGGTAGATAGCAGTGGGAGGCTGGGGGGGTGCTGAGAGGCTCACCTCTGTGACCCTTCTGTTCTTGCGAGTCTGCACTCTGCCTCACATCACCTCCCTGTCTCCCTACTCTGCAGATCCACTCTGTCCAGGTGTTGCAATGCTCCCGCCTTTCTCTTCACCACACAGAAGAACACTCCAGTGGGGACGAAGCTCAAGTATGAGGTAGAGACCAGTGGCACATACCATATCAATCCGGAGATCTTCCGTATGTTCCCTAAGGTGAGGCTCTGTCCAGGGTGGTCTGGATGGGCTATGGAGCTGCCCTAGCTGTGGTCTGAGGGGCAGTACCCTGACGACAACTTGTAGTGTGCACCCTGACACCTAGGTCATGGTTGGCCAGTCGTCTTAGGCATAGAAGCTCATCTGCTGGATTTCCTTGAGCTCTTGTCTGGTGAGAGCGATGGTAGTTGGCTGTCATTTGTGTGTGTCATATCAGATGACCTTGAGTGATCATCTGAGCACCTGTGTTCAGCAAGAAAGGGGTTCAAATTCTGTCTATGGCACTGATGCTGAGTATAGCTTGCAGCTATGTGGGAGAGGGACTGCACCTTCCTCCTCCCCCCACTTGGGGCAGGCATAGAGCAAAAACATGAGAAGGCAGTGAGCCCCAGAAAACATAACCCGACACAGATCCAGGTGCTCAGAGATTCAGTTCATATCAGATGATCAGATGAGCGGTCATTTTGTCCTTTAAAGCTTCAGTCTCTGTCCATAATACTGGGGTTTGAATTAGGCATAGATTTGATTGTTCATAAAACAACGTATCAGAGATTTAAACAGGAGAGACATTTGTGTCTCTCCTTTTTTTCCCTTTCACATGAGGAAATTTGGAGTGCGCTGATCAGGCCTGGCATGAACATGGGGTATACAGAGGTAGGGATCCACATACACAGCCTATTCAGATGGGCTCACCTGAGTTGACCGGTGGTGTAGATCCTAGCTCCAGATGTGGAAAAGTGGTGCTGGAAGCTGTGCCTCTGGCTAGTGTCTGCTAGGTGGTTCTGCAAGTATTGGGGTGTTATAGCCTCACCAACAGATTCATAACCACATTGTGGAGAGCTCTGGGCCCAGGGAAGGACTTTGTTGTCCAATTTGTAGACATGCAGAGTGGAGGTGTACACAGTTCTTTCTGGATGAACCTTGGGGCTGCATCATGAGACAAAGCCAGAGTGTCTTTGCATTCTGTTACTGGTACCAGAGCCCTTAGATAAGATTCAGCATCCTGGGGGCTTCAGGAAGTCACTAATAGTAACACATGGCACATGTGTCTGCCCATATCATAATGATGCAGAGGATAACATTGAGCCTCCTTTAACAAGAAGAATCTTTCAAGGACTGGAGCACAACGTGGATGACAGGTGAACTTGCATTTCTCCCACACAACAATAGCTCTGTGAAACAGCCTGGCCTGGCCTATGGGTCCAAAGAGAGCCAGGGTCCAGACTGCTGAGGCCCCAAAAGGTAGAGCAGGGTCATCAAATGTTCTCTGGAAAGGGCCGAGTAATATTTTAGATCTTCCAGGTGACATCTTTTCTCTGTCACAAGTACTCACCACTGTTATCCCAGTGGTGAGAAGAAACCTTAGCTATAGGTCTGAGTAAAAACTCAACCATAGGTCTGAGAAGACCAATGATAGTGGCTGAATCCTCATGACATAGAAATCTGAATTTCATATAATCTTCACATGTCAAAAAATATTCTCCTTTGGGTTGTTTTGTTCTCTCTCTCTCTCTGAGAGAGAGTGGGGCTTGAACTTGGGGGCTGGGGGCTATCCCTGATCTTCTGTGATAGTGCTCTATTACTTGAGCCACAGCTCCTCTTCTAGCTTTTTGGGGTTAATTGGACAGAAGAGTTTCAAGGTCTTTCTTGCTTGGACTGCCTTTGAACTGTGATTCTTAAGTCTCTGCTACCTGAGTAGCTAGGATTACAGGCATGAGCCACACTTCCAGATAGTTGTTTCCACCCATTAAAAAAATATATAAAATCTGCTGGGTGCTGGTGGCTCATCCCTATAATCCTAGCTACTAAGGAGGCTGAGATCTGAGGGTTGCAGTTCAAAACAAGCCTATGCAGGAAAGTCCATGAGACTCCTATCTCTAATTAACCACCAGAAAACCACCGGAAGTGGCACTATGGCTCAACTGGTAGAGTGGTTACCTTGAGCTGAAGAGCTCAGGGATAGTGCCCAGGCCCAAAGTTCAAACCCCACAGACTGACAAAAAAGAAAAGAAAAGAAAAAAATGCATATAAAAATCCATCTTCAGCTTACAGGCCATGTAAAAACAGATGGTAAGCCAGATGTGCCAGTTCCTAAATAAAAACTTGTGGCAGAGGGTGGCATTTTCCCAGTTTTCCCTAAGGAAACTATTTATTGGGGTTTATAAAATGTTTTCAGCTTACCCAGCCCTGCAGATCCTGATTCCACAGTTCTTGGATGAAGCCTAGCAATGGATATTTTCCTGATTTAGTTCCTGATTTACAGGAGTCTGGGAAATAACTCATAAAAATTATAAGCCTTTGATGGTTTTTCCAAATATAATGTTGGCTTTCCCCCCTTTCCTATTGTAAAGGCCAAATGATGCAGCTTCTCCCACTGACCATGAGATGCCTTGTTCTCTCTGGCCTGGCAATGTGGGCCTGTCCCTGCAGGGAAAATCGGCTGTAGACATGGCCAGAATCCTACAGAGGAGCATAGCATTGTTTCTGATGGCCCCATTGCAGTGTGGTCTCCATGGGACGCCCCCTCCATTTGGAAGCTGCCCACTGGAATGTGTTTGAGAGTGCCCCAGTGGACTCCTGGGTGGTAGAGATGGAAGAGACTAGTAACAAGTCTCTTGAACACATTTCTTGTGTATTCAGTGGAAACCACTTTTCCCCTCACATTTCCTGTGTGGCTGTTTTGTGGGACCAAGAGCTCACAGAGGTGGATGTGGTTACGGAAGGGAGGGCTCCAGATGAAGGTGTTAGCTTTGACACTGTGTCTGTCTGTGTCTCCCCAGGACATGCCTTACTACCGGTCCCAGTTTAAGAAGTGTGCGGTGGTGGGCAATGGAGGCATCTTGAAGAACAGCCGCTGTGGGAGGGAGATCAACAGTGCTGACTTTGTCTTCCGGTAAGATAACCACCTGCCGTTTTTCTCATGGTCCTCCCGCTATGCACCCTGCCCTGTGCAAGCCTACCCTGTGCCCAGCTGCTGCTCTTTGAGTGCTTCATCCACTGCTCCCTGTCCCTGCATACACCCAGGACCTCAGGAATCCCTTCCTGCCCAGCCTGATGCCTTTGGGAAGGCTATGTTGAGCTCTCAGACCCTCAGTTTCCACATCTGTACAATAAGAGGCATATAAAAAGAAAATAGCACTCCAGATGTAAGGCCCTGAGGACTTATAGGTCACACAGCTGATGCTGGAGTCCTTGGAGCACCCACATTCTTGGACAGGCTCTCCCCCCCATAAGCACTGGTCTGAACTTGTGGCTTCAGCTTGCTCTCACTAAGCTGGAGACTGATGCTTGTATTTCTTTCTCCGTGTGGGAAGCCTTTTTATCTCTTTGGAGATCCTTGCTTTCCTCTTTAGCCTGGGTAAAGAAGATGGGTTGAAAATAAAAGCAAGGGAAGGGGTAACATTGTCCAAAAAGAAATGTACTTTTTGCCTGATTTAAATAACTGTGATCCCTTCTATATTACCATTATACTTACAATAAATTTTTTTTAAATAGAATATAAAAGCTTCAAGTGAAACTATAGCATGCATCCATCAGCCACTGGTGGCCAGTGATGAGAATGAATGGGTAGAGGAGGTTTGATGCAACTGGAAGTATTAAAGTTTCTACATATTTTGGATTCTTGAGTGCTACCCCAGGCTTCTGTCTCTAGAAGAGGGAAGCCAACAATTCCCTGTTCTAAGCTTGGAAGTAATATTGCCACCATTGATGGGTGGGTGCATATAGTGTCACACACATGTGTGACAAACCCAACCTCTGTTGGCCAGGTGAGCCCTTGTGCTCCTTGTGGATGCTCAATGCATCCATAATCAAGAGTTTAGAGTCCTCTAGCCTCAAGTCTCTCCCTGAGTCTAGCCATACCACTGCTAAGGGAGGCAGGAAATCTCTTGTAAGATATCTTCTGGGGAGCTTCACAGGTCTTGAAGTTTACCCAAACTTTCATCTAGGCAATGGCCTCAGTAAAGTCATCTTACCTATCTGCAAAGTGGGGTTAATACAGTCGTTTCCTCAGAATTTAAGGATTAAATGAGATAAAATGCCCCCAAAGCTGTCAGTGCTTCTTACATTGGACATACCAACAGTGTCCAAAAGAAATCAGCTGGTACTAATTCCAGATCCTGTCCCTTCTAGCTGGAATGTTCCCCAACCTACCCTAGCCTCTACCTTCCAGTTTTGTTTGTTCCCTTGTCCTTCCAAATTCAACTCAAGGATAACCACCTCCTTCCACAGTACTCCCCTTGCAGCCTTCTGTAGGCCTCCACAGAACCTGGTGCTACCTCTTACATGGCATGTATAGCCAAGACCAAGTGGGTTGGCTTGTTCTATTCCAGTAACTTGGATAGCCCAGGCACCCAGACAATGAGTGTGAAATGAAAAGGCAAAAGAGCAAGTGGGAGGATAGTTTGCAGGACCCTCAGGATACAACAGCGGGTGCCCAGACCTCTAGGCTGTGCAGCCAGGCAGCCTGACTTTGAATAAGGGGCTGACTTGCCTTAGATGAGTGACTCAACTATTCTGCTTCTGCCTTCTCCCAAATGTAAGGTAAGGTGACAAGGTGACATTATTTATTTTGGATGATGGAATAAACAATGTAAGATATCTTAAGTCCTGTTATGGTTTTTTTAAATGCCTTTAAGTATCTTTTTATAAATTAAACAAATCCATGTGGAGAGGTTGACATTCTCTGCAAAGATCATGTGGCTAGTCACAGTCAGAAATGGGGACACAGGCCTGGGTTTGACTTCTTCCTGTTAGTCCACATTATCTCTTGCTTAAGGCTATAACAACGGCTTTTCCCTTGGGGAATTCACTGTCCTTCCACCCCACACCTGTCATAGCACATCATGGTTTACACTAGTTTTAGAGACACTCGGAGTTTTTCATCATTGTCACTGTCGTTTTGTCCCAAAAGTACAGCAGTGACAACTCTCATTGAATGCCCACCCTATGTTCTCAAGATGCAGGAGTCTCAGGCATATTCTAGGCAATGTCCCTACTGGATGGTACCGTATTGGGAAAGAGCCCTGGGCCCACGGTCAGACAGTTCAAGTCCCTTGAACTTTCTAAATGCCTGGCTTCTCTATTACAACTCAGGGACTTCAATATCTGCCCTAAAGGTTACTGATAGTGTATATAATGCTATGTAAGATGCTGGCACCTCACAGCTCCTCACTGACTGCCACCCCTTGCCCACCCCCATCTTTAAAGGAAATATAACTGCCCTCCCTAGGGTGTTGATAGAAGATGTGTGGCAGACCTGGTTCTGTTATAAGCATTTCTTCTGTATAGTTATTCCTTGTACCTATGTACTTCCTGGATGAGGGACAGATCCTTCTTAGGGCCCACATCCTTTGGTGTCTTGCTCCCTCTTCCCTCTCTACCTCAGCTTGTACCATTCCTCTCCTGAGCTATAGTCCCTAGGTTTTAGTCATCCTCCCTTCCTCTATGGCCTTTGCCCAAGACCTCTGTTGAAAATGCACAGTAGCATCCTTCTTCACCCAGTTAACACTCTCCTTCTCAAAGTTATTATTTATTTGTTATAACATTTGATGTAAAGAAATATTTGCAATGCTCTCATTGGTATGAAGCCAAACAATAAAATTACGAAGTATTTGCAAACCAACCTCTTGAGAAGTTGAATGTTTACATCTAGCTATTGTATCAGCTGATTTGCTTTCTCCCTCCAAGCTAATCAGTAACTTTAATTTTTTTTACTGATTCCTTTCTCATTAAAAATTGTTCTTTTACATATACATATCTTATCCTTTTTTACTTATAATTACTTGTTTGGAGCTATATTAGTTTGCTATTTCTGTCATAACAAATCGCCACAAAAATCTGGGGCTTGAAGTAACACAGATTATATGGTCTTACATCGAAAGTCTCAAGATATTAACAGGAGTTAATACTGGAGGCACTAAGGAAGAATTAATTTTCTTTCTCCCAAAAGCTGTCTGCATCCCTAGGCTCATGGCTTCCTCAATACCAGTATTCTGCTCTCTTTCTTTGGTTCTAATTCTGTTGTCAGGTGTTTTCTCTTTCTTTCACTGTAACAGCATTGCCCTGGACCCACCTTGATAATCCAGAATCATCTTTCCCTCTCAAGATCCTTAACTCAGTCTCAGCCTTTCTGTTTTAGGGAACCTATTCAGAAAATCTAGGGATTAGGGTCTTGCAGACATTTTTGGAGACCATGACTCTATACCACAAGGGCTTTCTACAAATTACATTCCAGCTTGCTTTGCACAAGTATTGCATTTCTGAGTCTCATCTTCATGTAGATTCCAAATTTATTTAGTCCTCCTGCCAGTTGGCTTTTGCTTACATTCTCCTTTTGACGGGTTAAAAGGCTGTTCTCGTGCATCTGTTCTCTGAGCACCATGACCCCACCCTCCAGAGGGCCAAGGACTACTTCACTTCATAACTGGATTTTGGCTGGAGGATTCTCAGGACTAGAACTTTAGTGAATCTTGGGACTGGGCTTGTTTATGGTCTGAATACCTGAAATGGAGCAGAAGTACCAGTCTTTGATCTTGCTGAGGAAAGGCTTTAGAAATGGACACACAGAGCAATCTACCAACCTTCTCTCCCTCCCTCCCTCCCTCCCTCTTTCCTTCTTTCTCCTCCCCTCTCTCTCTCTCTCTCTCTCTGTCTTCCTTCCTTCCTCCCTTCCTTCCTTTTTCTTACTTTCTTTTCTTTCTCTCTTGTTCTCTCTTCCTTTCTGTCTTTCTCTTTCTTGTCTGTCTTGGAGCTTGAACTCAGCGTGTGGTCCCTGTGCTTTTTTTTTGCCCAAGACTAGCACTCTACCACTATGAGCCATAGCTCTATTTCTGTTTTTTAGGTGGTTAATGGAAATACGAGTCTCACTGCCTTTCCTGCCTGGGCTGGCTTCGAATCAGTATCCTCAGGTCTCAGCCTCCTGGGGAGCTAGAATTAAAGGCATGACAGGATTACAGAGCCACCAGTACCCAGCTGCACTGAGCAGTCCTTAACAGAGTAGATTTATTTAAGCAAAAGCTAGACGTTATTAAAGCAGGAGTGGCTATAAAGCAATAGTGCACCCCAAGGAAAACTGAGAGTGGTGGCTTGACCATTAAGCCCTCAGTCTTAGATACTTTCATGAGTAGGGCTTCATGATTATGCTAATGACTGTTCTAAGAAGCTGTACATAATTGTGGAACTCTCCAAGAAATGAGAAGTCATTTCTACAAACCAGCAGAATGGTTTACCTAATAAGGGTCCTCAGAGCCTAGATGAAAAACCAGGGAGGTACATGTATAAAATCACACTATAATGAGATGTAAATGAGACCTCTGGCTAACCTAGAGAGTTGGGCAAGGTCTTGTTGGGGTTGTTGATGGAGACCATTGACCACTGTTTCAAAAAGTACAATGGTGGAGAAGGAAGTTTGGCAAAATGCATCTGAACAAGTGCTGCACCTGTTCCCTGGTTCCTGGATGTTGTCTCTGTTCCCTTTCTCCCTGCCTATACCACATTAGAAAGACCAACCGCAGTCTTATTACCCAGCCACTGAGGTCCCACCCGGGTGACCATCTCTGTATCCCTACGCCTATATAATCAGCATCCCTTCCTTCCCCAAATATCCTCCCCAGCCACCTGCAGATGGCTGACCACCTGCATGAGGCTGCCCTATCTCTTCTCCAGGTGTAACCTCCCCCCCATCTCAGAGAAGTATACCGCGGATGTAGGGGTGAAGACAGATGTGGTCACTGTGAACCCCAGCATCATCACTGAGAGGTTAGTGTTCCTCGTTCTAGAACTGTGTTGATCTTTGGTGGTCAGCAGTCACCAGCAGCCACTGGACACTGGACATATGGCTGGTCCTGATGGAGTTGTGCTGGCCACCTGCAAAAGGAAGCACACACAAAGGCATACTAGAACACAATGGTGAAACATATCTCATTTATGTTTTTATAATTACAAGTTGAAATGATCATGCTTTTATATGTTGGATTAAATAAAATATCAAAATTATGTCCCTCATTTCTACTTTTCAAAATGTACTTACTAGGACATTTTTTAAAGTTTTTATTAGCATACATTGTATAAGGGAGTTACTTTGTAATATTTCCAAACATGAATACAGTGTACCCCAAACTCACCCTGTATCTCTCTCACCTTTTCATCCCTTCTTAAAACGATTTCAACAAGTTTTATTATTCTATTTTCACATGTGCATATAACATACATCTACCCTATTCTTCCTCCTTCAACCTCTGTGTTTTCCCTCTCCCTCCTGTTGACACTTATCCCTCAACAGAGCCTATTTTATTTTATTTTATTTTATTTTGCTGGCCCCAAGGCTTGAACTCAGGGCCTTGTACTCTTGCCTGGCTTTTCTCCTCAAGGCTGGTTCTCTACCTCTTGAGCCACACCCTGCAATCCCAGCATTCCACCCGCAGGGGCAGAAGGATTGTGAGTTTCAGGGCTGCTTGGGCTGCAAAGTGAGATCCTATCTCAAAACCAAACCAAAGAAGCAAAACCCCGGAAACAAAACCCCTCAGCTCTGGTCCTGAGAGAAGGGAGGAGGCATCTGTGGAATGTTTTAGGGGAGGGGCATAGTCACACTGTCCAAGTCAGGTGATGGGTAGGGTGAGTTGTTCAATTGCATCAGATGCCCAGAGAGCCAGGAGGTCCAAAGCAGAGTGAGGGACATGGGGGAGGCCTGTTCCCTGTACAGGAAAAGGTGTGAGAGGTAGGCCAAGAGGCCAGGGGAGGGGTGGAGCCGCACCAGGTGACTGTTCTGTTGGAGCCCATCATTGAGAATCTTGGGGAAGACTGAGAGTAATGTCCAGGCTCTTCACTCCCTCCCATATGTTGCCTGCCCTGGGCCATTACATTCACCCTTTGGGGTTAAGTCCTCTCCCTGCAGCCACACCCTCAGTATTTACTCCCTTGGTTCATTTAACCCTCTGTGCACCCACTCGCAAATACATGACTATCCCAGAGAACGGCCCTACCTCCATCTGCTGAGTTGGAGGGGGTGGAGAAAGAAGGGACTGGTGGCCTTGTGAGGCCCAGCTCACCTTTTTCTTTTCTTTTTATTTTGCTGGTCGTGGGCCCTGAAATCAGGGCCTGGGTGCTGTCCCTCAGCTCTTCAGCTCAAGGCTAACGCTCTACCACTTGAGCCACAGCGCCACTTCCAGCTTTTTCTGCTTATGTGGTGCTGAGGAATCAAACCCAGGGCCTCATGCATGCAAGGCAAGCACTCTACCACTGAGCCACCTTCCCAGCCCCAGCTGGCCTTTTGTAAAGCCCTCAGGATGTGGGAGTGGGGAAGCAAAGGACCTTGGGCCGTGGGGGAAGGGTGCTGTCCCCGTTTCTCACGCTGTGACCCCCTTGCGCAGGTTCCACAAGCTGGAGAAGTGGCGGCGACCTTTCTACCGCGTGCTGCAGGTGTATGAGAACGCATCGGTGCTGCTGCCCGCCTTCTACAACACGCGCAACACCGACGTGTCCATCCGCGTCAAGTACGTGCTGGACGACTTTGAGTCTTCGCAGGCCGTCTACTATTTCCATCCTCAGTACCTGGTCAATGTGTCACGTTACTGGCTTACCCTGGGGGTGCGTGCGAAGCGCATCAGCACGGGCCTCATTCTGGTCACCGCGGCGCTGGAGCTCTGCGAGGAAGTGCACCTGTTTGGCTTCTGGGCTTTCCCCATGAACCCTTCAGGTTTCTACATCACTCACCATTACTATGACAACATCAAGCCCCGCCCTGGCTTCCACGCCATGCCCTCTGAGATCTTCAACTTCCTGCACTTGCACAGCCGGGGCATCCTCCGCGTGCACACTGGCACCTGCAGCTGCTGCTGATGCCGGTGGCAGTCAGACCAGCCCCCGACTCCTCCTCCACTTCCTGGTGCAGCTGGGGGCCCCTGGTTGGGCAGGCGCATTCAAGCCTTCTCTCCTTCAGTAGTTTGGCTTTGTGCTTGGGACCTGGGGCAGCCAGTCAGGGGATGAGGTCTGCAGGGCTCCTGGGCCACTGCCCTGTTTCTCTTCTTGCCCTTCAGAACATGCAGCTGGGCCACCGCCCCAGGATCAGGGGGCCTGGACATTGCAAGTGAATAAGCACATTTCCATTCAATTCCAGCTTTGGAGAGAGCACAAACCGTACTAAAGGCAGGCCCTATGGAGAAATGGCCTAGAGGGAGGGGATGGAGCACTTGACATTGGAACACAGTCAAGATGGAATTCAGGACTCAGCTGTGAATTACTGTCTAGAGCCTCAGAGCTGAAAGGCCAGTCCAGTGGCCAGACCTTCCAGTGAAGTGCAGCTCAGAGCCTCTAGTGACTTCATCTTGATATACCATCCAGTTAAGCCCAAAATGTCCCAGTGGGAAGATGTGTTAGCATCTCCCTGAGATGCTCGCTGCTGAGAGCCACACCCTTTCAAACCATCTTCTGACACACAGCCTTGGTGCCTCTAGGTTCCACCCTGTATTTGACCTTTTGACAAGAAGGAAATTAAACCAGACCAGCCATTTGCACTGATGTTTTCAAGCCAATGTTATCGACTCAATAAGTGCTTAGCAATTTGCTTCCTTTTCTGTCTCCCTATTTTCAGCTCCATTTTAACCAGGAGTTATTTATAAAGATCTGTTCCTCTTTACGTTCTTCAGTACTGCAGAATTCTGCTAAATTGTGTTCCCAAATGGGAACTGGTAGCTGGAAAGCACTGACTTGTTACATGAGCTTAGCAGTAAAAGCCAGTTGGGGCCTCTGATACCAATCTAGCGGAGGTTTCTACACTGTGAAGGAGAGACCCCTAGCATCTTCAGGCTGGGGCTCCTTTCAGGCTGGAAGTCACTACACCTGGGCTGAGAGGACTCATGTGTTATGTTCATATCTGAAGTTCTCTCCCTTTGCTTTCCCCTGTGTGTGTTCCTGCCCTGAATGTGACTGTCCTTGATAGTTATTGTTGCTGACTTAGACGTAGTTGTGGGGGACTGTAGGATATTAACATGGGGAGGACTTCAATCTGCTTGCCCTCCTTTTCTTGTTCTCTCCTTCCCTTTGCTATTCTTTCCCTCAAACATTTCTGAAATGTCTGTTCTTCTATGCTCTGTGGTTGGGCTTGGGAAGACATGGTGCCAGAGGTACTCTCTCTAGGATAGAGGTAGATCATACACACTGTTCCTATTACCAGGCAAGTGTCTAAGAAAGACCTTCAGGAATACAAAAGAAAGAGCGACTTTTTATCTGATCACCTCATTTTACAGGCAAAGCCACAGGCCCAATCAAAGAGACAGCAAATGCTGGCCTTTAGGCTCTTCGTTGGGCCATATCTCCTCCTCCTTTGGGCTGTATTGTACACCAGCCAGCCCACCCAGAATTTGTGTTCATGCTGAGTGCTGTGCTAGATGCTGCCTTCTGGGCTCTGGGCCTGAATGAGATGATCCCAGGCAGCCTGGGGCCAAAGTCTTCAAGTTTGTAAAAGTTGGAGATCAGCTACTGACAAAGATGGCCCTGTACTTGGTAAACTTGTGCACAAGGTTAGAGATGGTGATAGTTTTCTTGGACTCTGTGTATTTCTCCCATGGAAGGAGCTTCTGGAAAAGATTCTAGTTCCAGATGGACAAGAGCCTTAGTGAATCAGAGTCCCTGCAGACAAGCATGTTGGGATTTGAATCTTTCCCAGCCAGGGCCCTTGTAGGAGCTGGGGATATAGTCCAATGGGGGAGCTGTGACTTCTGTCCTAGGATACTTCCTTCCTGTCCCTCAGGGCCTAGTTTTCTCACCTCTGCAACTAGAGGTTTTAAAAGGTCTCTAGGTTATCTCCAGTGTCCATTTGTTGAGGCATTCATGATATATGGATCTAAGCCATAAATAATACTTATTATTAAAATAGCTGAGATTTGTTTGCTTTCATTCTGTGTCAGGCCCTGCATTAAGCACTTTCCCTGCTTAACGCCCATCATCTCCCTAAGACCCACTTAAGAAGGAGGCTCTGATGGCCAAGTAGGATATTGAGGCTCAGAGTGACTCAGGACCTCACCCATGAAGGGCACTGCCTGGTACTGTCGCAGGTCTATACAGCCTTTGCTTTCAACCTCTATCTTAGCAAGCATCATCAGGGCTGGAACAGAAGAGATCCTGACTAAAATGTCTCCACAACATGGTACTCAACGGAAACAATATGCTCAATGGGAAAACACTCAGAGAAGCTCAACTGGGACCCTTGCAGTCTCCTGACACTAAGACTGCATGCTTTCACCTGAAGCCACCATTTGTAATATTTTTTTCCAAAGGCTCAGGAGACCTTGGCACTGACTCCAGCAGCCCTCTATCGTGTTCTTCTGCAGCCCCATCACTGTCCCTCTGGGTAGTGCTGACTAGCAGTTTAATTCTTATTTAAGGGACATTGATTCCCCATGAACAAAAGAGCCACCTTCATTTGTGCTGAAATCACGGCTCCAAGCTTGAAAAGCAGCAGGAGAAAGTACAGAATTCAGTGCTTAGCCAAGCAGAAAGAAGGGTGGTTTGAGGTCAGGCTGGCCTGTGGGACCATTTATCCACCTAGAGTTGAAGAGAACAGACAGGTATCCAGTGACTTTGTTCAGTCTGGGGAGGGAGCATAGCGGGTGCTTCCTGACAACCAGGGAGAGTGGATTGAGGGCTTCGGCCAGTCATTGCCTATCTATTTGCTGTGTGCTCATTGTGCCAGGCATTGTAGTAGTACCAGGGAAAAGGTAATGAATAAAACATAATCTCTGCCCTCCTGGCAGAAGGTGTATATAGTCATGAAAAGAAGCATCTTGCAAACACATAGTAGCTGGCTGTGTGCTGTGCTGTCAAGTGGTTCAGGGACAGTTAGCAAGGAGAGGGAGGAGAAGGTGGTGTAAAAGTTGATTCTGAATCCTCAAGGTTGGCAGCGTAAGGATTGTAATTGCCAAAGCAGAGGCGATGTCTTAGGTCTTCTTATCAAACAGAACATTTGACAGGGCTGGCCTTTCTGCTCTTGCATTCCTGTTCTCCTACTCCTAACAAGCTGTTTCTTTGTGACTTGCCTCCTGTCTCTTTGATGCTCCTCCGCTGACTCGTTCATGACTCATTTTCTGTGAAACTTCCTCAGGGTTTTCTTTCTTACTAGGAAAACTCAGTTGAAATCGTACCTTTTCACAGCTTCCTGTATCTCCTGTCCTTACATTGGAGTTCTCGCTTGCAGGCCAGTGTCCCTGCTTGCAGTCTCCTTCTCCCCAGGAACAGAAGCATGAACACCAGGGTCTCCTGGGGGACTGCCTCTGCACTACATTTCCGATCTCAGCCTGTCTTCAACTCAGAGAGGTAAAAGAATAATCTGGATGCAGACTCCCCTCCTACTGCTCAGTAGTGATCTGACCTTGAGGAACCTCCATGGGTCCTAGAGGCTCTGACTAATCCTTTGAAAAATAAGGGAGAGACTCCAAACTCACCAGCTAGCTGTTACGAGGATTCAGTGCTGCCTAGCACCATGCTGCCACACACTAGATGGTCAGCTCAGGTTCCCTCTGTCCAATCCTAGGTTACTCCTACCTCCCAACCGATTCATTCTCTATGTTTATGCACTAAATCTGGCCAGTTCCAACTCATAATGATCTCTTGAGTTCACTCCCTCCTCTGCTTATCTGAATGACCTCTGCGTTCAGAGAATTAACAACTAAAAATGCCTTTTTAAGGGGCCCATTGCTTATGTAGTGTCATGAACTTCAGTCTCTTTACCAAGTCATACAGGCCATGTCTCAAGTAGGCTCCTTCCCAGAAACCCTTCTGCTACTTATCCTCTGGTACTTCTTCAGGCTCTGTGCCTTTGTTCAAGTGGCTCCAAACGCCTTGGATGGCTCCTCACTCCTCTTCCCCTCCCCCTTCCTCTCATCTGATCAGTTTTGCAGACAATGAACATGTAAAGCTCCTACTCCCTCCCTCTGGACCTGGGCTGGGAACTCCCTCCTCTGAACTTCTCTAGTGACCATCCCATCACTGTTGCTTGCTAGGATATACCCCAAGCACACAGCATAAATGCCCCTCTGTCTTTGGTGGCTGGTCTGTCTTTATCTGAGGGAAGGTGCAGAATCTAGGTCATCTCTGTGCCCTTAACACCGACACAGAGCTGGGAGCTGTCACTCCATCAATGAGGTCTTGGATTACCTAGTGGGTTCTAGCAGTTCAAGAAAGCCCATTAATAAATTAAGCACCACCAAAGGGATATTGTCAATGGAGGTGTGTGTGTGTCTGTTGGTTATTTTGTGCCAAGACAGGCATAAACTTCCCCCGGTATGTGTTTTGATAAGCTTTGGGCCCCAGAGTGAGCTGTCTGTGGCCTGGTACCTCCATTCCCCAGCCTCTTCCATCATCTTCTTGTTGATTCTCCGGTTATAATCTTCTTGCTCATCTACTTGCTTGCTAACTCACCTGCTTTCTCTAACTTAAACAAAAGAATGGGATGACACACTCTGTTTATATTCCTTTCCCTCTCTCAGAACCCTGTTGTTATGTTAGGATCTTGCATTTATGTGGCTAGAGTGAATGGTGAGTGAAGGATTTACCAACAGTGTCTCATTTTTTTTTTTTGGTCTGGGAAACCAGTGAAGTGGGCATTTTAAAATATCCAGTGGAAGCCTGGGAGCTTGGGGTTGTTTCTCTGGGGGAGTGGGTAGAGGTTGGTAGGTGGTCCTTTGTGTTCCACACACCTGCTGGCTCCATCTCTACAGCCAGGGCACCCTCTAGGGTCAGGTGAGGTCAGACTAGGGATATACCTACAGCTGACTTGTGCCCTCTACTATTCCTGAGAGGTCGAATCCAACGAAGCTAGTCTGTGGTGGTTACATCTTCAGAGC